AAAGCGATATAAGTCGTAATAAATCTATTCGAGACAATTTAGGCGCGGCACCAATAGGTAATCAAATGAGAGAGAGTAAACTCAGGTGGAATGACCATCTGAGTACAATACAGGTTAGGAGGTGCAAATTAGTTCAAGTGGAAAGAATGAAAAGTATAATTGATAAACTAAAAAAGACGTGGTTGAAAGTAGTCTAAAAAAATATAAAGACTTGTGGCCTTACTGAGGATATGACCTTTCGTAGAACAAAATAGAGAATCATGATTCATATGGCCGATCTCAATTAATCGAAAAAAAAAAACTAAAATGATGATGATGATAAAAAATCACATTATTACATTATTATTGGAAATTTAGTCAGTCCAAATTTTAATAACAGCATATGATCCGTTATAACAAATTTTGAAACGTTGTGTGCAAAGCCTATGTGCGTCACGTCACGTAACGTGTGCATGTGTGATGCCCTTGTGACGTACTCATGCCGACCTTGGAATGACGCTCATTGACAAAAGATATCACTAAATAACAAATTAATAAATAAATAATTTACTAAGGACAGATGCCTTTTCTATCAGTTTCGACCTTTGTTTAGCATAAAACAATTCAGGATAATTATTCGTACCACAAATTCACAAACTTGTAGGAATGAATTCACACATGCTTGTCATAAATCCATTTAGATAAAGTTTCGGCTGGTAAAAACCCCAGGCCCACGTGCTTGTCCTAAATCCATTTAGATAAAAGTTTCGGCTGATAAAAACCCAAGGCCCACGTAAAGCTTTTGTTAAATTAGAGGCGTTGACCTTTTTATACCAGGTCACATTTCCTTCCGATTATTCGATGTGAAATTTTATACTTACGATTATTCGATGTGAAATTTGATAGTTTGGATCTGTCAGAAATTTTTTTTTTAAGTTTAAGTTTGATTAATGAAATAGTTGTAGCTACCCAACTTTATTACATCTAATGGAAAATATTGTGACCGCCTTGAATAAAAAATAAATAGTATCATTTTATTCTTTCACTATTAGTATTATTAAGGGAAAATGATAAATATTCTCCACAATGAACTTTGTAGACATCATTCTCATAATATTTTTAGTATCATACCATAGACCCACACACAATTTTTTTTTTGTATTTACCCCCATTCAAAAAATTATGACTAAAATACCCTTATCCTTTCACTATCTCTACCCACTCTCTCTCTCTCTTCCTCTCTCTCTTTACCCACCCTCTCTTTCTCTCTCTACTTGCCCTCTCTCTACTCTCTCTCTCTACCCGCCCTCTCTCACTAGCAAATTGATTTCTCTTTACTTGCAATATGTTACACCACCCTCTCTCTACCCGCCATCTTTCTCTTTCTCTCTCTACCTGCTCTCTACCCGCCCTCTCTCACTAGCACATTGATTTCTTTCTCTACTTCCCGTATGCTACCCCACCCATGAGAGAGAAAAGTGAAACCCATAAAATATCATACCCTAACTTCACAAAATGGCCTAGGAAGAGAAACTCAATGCCCCCATTGAAGTTGCGGAGCCCTCGAGGTTTTCTAATCACAAAAACAAGGTATTTCCCTGCCCCTTTTGCACAAGAAAGTTTTTCAGTTCTCAGGCTCTAGATTGTTGGGATATGGATATCTTGGGTTCATATTGATATACATCACTATGGATGTATATATATATATATATCTCTTGATAAGGTTAGGTATTTAGAAGATAGAGACTAAGTTATTTGGTCATCAAGTTATCATACCATAATTATCTCTTCTAATTGTGTGTTTGTCCTCTATATATAGACATACTTCTTGATGTAAACATTCATCCAAAGTAGTGAAGATGTAGCCGGATGGGGCTTTGGATCCGTGGACATAAGGCTTCGGCCTGAACCATGTAAACATTGTGTTCTCTCTTCTTCTCTCTCCATTCTCTATTCTATGCTCCCACGAATTCTAACATAGGTGACCATTAAAATTCTCACAAGAAGGAGACAACGTCTAATAGAAAATCTTAAAGAACGAACAATTACATGCTTTGTGCATTGGGTTCTTCTTAGCCATTAGCCATGACTCGAAACTTGGGTTTTTATTGGCCCCCACTGTACATAAATGCCCACTGCTAGCCATTGTGGATCACAAAACACGTAGTTTTGTAGACATGATTTGGTTCTAATGGAGCCCCAAGGTTCCATGTAAGGTTCTTTTTTCGTTGCAAGAGACCATTGTTCGAAGAAGAGGACTAGACGGGTTGAGAGAAAGAGAGGGTGGGTTGAGGGAAAGAGAGAGGATGGGTCAAGAGAGTAAGAGGAGAAAGGCATTTTAGTCTTACCTTTTTTGACTTTTCAATTGGGGAGGGGGGAGGGGGGAGGGGGAGGGGGGAGGGGGGAGGAGGGGTAAATACAAAAAAAAATAGTGTTTGGGTCTAGGGTGTGATGCTAAAAGTGTTGGGGGGAGGATGTCTACATAGTTTATTTTGGTGGGGTATTATTGCAACAAATTATCTAGACTGTCTATTTGGCACTAAAAATATGTGTTAATAAATAAGCAAGATCTGTACAATTTTTTAGTTTAAAATTTTAATGTCAGTGCTGGAAATCGATTTTAGAGCCATCATGAAGATTTCTTTTGCCGAAAGTGCTTTTTGGACGAGGATTTGAGGTGGGGCCTTATTTTGTTTTCATAAAGTCTAGTTCTTATAGAAATTTTATCCTTCTATTAAGAGGTGGATTTTTGCACAAAGTTTGGACAATGTTGACTTAAGGTGTCAACTTTGTGACACCTTAGTCACCATGTAATAAGGTGATGGGAAACGGGCTCGGGTCATGTTGGTAGCACCCTACACCTCAGTCACCATGTTGTGGTTTCCATTCCCACCACTAAAGCTTCAAAAAGCTAACTCCTAATCGACTTGAAAAAATGGGTAGGCGCCTGTCTTCCCCACTGAATTACCTAAAAAACAAAACGTAATAAGATGACTATCTTGTTTCCATGCTAAAAAACACTCTACTAGATGACCTCAACTTTACGACTTATGAATCATCATCATCATCATCCTTCAAGCCTTATCCCCACTATTTGAGGTCATCTTTATGAATCTTGTTCTATCATTCTGAGTGTATCAAGGATCATACCTTTAGTCAGGCCATAAGTCATCATATCTTTTATTACTCCTTCTATCTATATCCTACTGAGTGTTTATTTTGTCCTTTTAGAGCCTTGCACTTGAATCAAATCGTACCTCCTAATTGGTATTATATTAGGTCTACACTGTACGAGGCCAACACACTTAAGTCTACTTTTCCCTCATGCTATTGCCAATTGGAGCCACTCTTAAGTTCCCTTGTAAGTGTTCATTCTGAATTTTATCATTTCTTGTCTTGCCCCTCATCCATTTCAACATTCATGTCTCAACTTCACTCATCCTATGGATATGTCAATCCCACTTTGTAACACATTATATGGATTATTTATTTTTATGATACGAATACAATATAAAAAAAAAGAGGAAATGTTTCAAGTCATAAGAATAATGCATTTTTTAACACATTATTTAGACTATCTATTTTTATGAATTTCAAGTGTTGATAGATTAGCTTAATCTGCACCATTTTTAGAGCCTTAATTTCAAAATTCCAGTTGTGGGAATCAGCTTTCATGCCATCTAGCGTTATTTGATTATTCAAGGTTGATGCCTTATATTAACTATACCTATTAAATTTTGATCATTTTCAAGATTTTCAAGTGTCCTCGATTCGTATCACTTTTTAAATTTGAAATTTTATAGCTAGGTACAAGAATCGATTTTTCAGCCATCATAAAGTTTTCGACACTTAAACTTTATCTCCAAGCAAATTAGTGCGCCTTAAATATAAGGACAGCGCCATGTAAAAACCTCACCCTTTGATAAATTGCCCTTAACAAATTTACCTTGTTCCCTTTTGAGAATTTTATTGGAAAATATCAAATTGGCCTCGCCACACTTTGCCTCCTAGAGTTGGTTATTAGCTCACATCTAGTTGCAACTTGCATGCCAAAATATTCTTCACGATGAAGCTTCAAAGAAACACCCCGTGATAGTGAGCCATAACGCCACTCCATTTAACCAGGAGAGAGAGAGAGAGCTTTTTTCAATAAGAAACCCTAACTTTTCTCGGTAAAAGAAGGAGAAACCTTAGATTTCAGACCTGCAACTTGTTATCATCTTACTAGCAATCTTTCTTAGTAGCAATGCTATCAGGTAACACTAACACTAAGCCTTAGCGCTCTTCGTTCTTTCTCTCTCTACATCTGATCTGATGCTTTTCTTTCCTTCCCCATCACTCTTGTGTCTGTTTTCTCTCTCTATATCTGTTACATTCCTTTGTATTCCTTCGCAGGCTTTGCACACGGAGCCCGCCAAAACTCAGGCAGCGGTACACCAATACCTGCAAATGGAAAGCTCACATATAAGGCCGTGAACCTCATGGCCATGGTGATGGGTTCTGTCTCTCTTGGCTTGGCAACACGGCTTGTATACACAGGCGCAAATATCAAAGTTTCGGTGATCCTCTTTATAATCTACGCAAAGTGTTTCGCTATATCTGCAGTGATAAAGGGGCTGATGATCCTTGCCCCTCAGTCCATTAGAGGTGCTCGAGTTTTAGGGTTTCTTATGGTTAGTGTTCTGAGTCTCTTCTCTCTGGCTTTCCAGATTCACCTGGTCTTTCTAGTGAAGGTGGGAAATGGCATGGCATGAAAACAAGGCTTTGTTTTGCTTTTCAGGCTTTTATTTAGAGAGAGTAATGGATGCGTTGTTGAGGCAATCTCTATGTAGTTTCCTCTTTAATGCCTCAAATAAAAGTGTATAGGTTTGCTGAATGAAAATAACAGATAAGAGTCTGGCTGCCAGAATCGAGCTCTCCATTCTGTCTCTTTTCTAGGGGTGGCAATGGATCCAAGACTCGGTGGGTATACCTGACACGGGTCCGGGTATGGGTCCAATATTTGGATCTTCGGGTTGGGGTTTCGACCTTGGCCCCGAACACAAACTCAACTAATATCCGTAAATTGTTGTAGATAAATATTTCAAGCCCTATTTATTTGGTGTACTAAGAATCATATACAATAAGAACTCGCAGTCATCTTTAGCTATTAAACGACAAATCAAAAGACTTGAAATCTAATTGCAAGTGATTGTGATATTATTGCCATTAATGAGTATATGATGGTAAAAAAAAAGGCAAGGAAAAGAAGAAGAAGAAGCTCATAATGATGGTGGCAATGGACCCGGCGAGAACGAGACCTGATGGGTATGGGTATGGGTCCAACGTTTGGACCTGAATACATTCAGGTTTGGGTTTGGGTCCAGTCGGACCCGAACCATACCCACCCCGTTGCCACCCCTACTCTTTTCTATCCAAATAACGGTTTTCATTTGCTTTGTAGGTTGCTAGGAGGCCTAGATTCACTATCTAGGAAATGAGGGGACACCATGAGAGAGACCCGACACATTTGAATAAAATGTACGGTACAGTTTTCTCTTTGTGGTGTGGGTCCTCCACCCCCACATACCTGTGTCAGATCGACAGATTATGATCTAAATCAGTCCAAATCAATGATATAAAAAAAATTGAGAAATAATAAACAGTTCTAAAATAGGAGTTTATGCAAGGTGATTTAGGGAGGATATAGGAAAACATTTGATAAGCTTTTTTTTAAAAAAAAAGAAGAACATGAAAGGATGATAGTTTAGGGGTGGATTGGGCCAGACTGATACCTTCCAAGAACTGTTTTGGTCCTGACCGATTCCCAGTCTAGATTGACGATATGGATCATGAATCGCTATGTTTTGAAACAATCATTGGGTGTGTCCACATTTGATCAAAACATGCATTACTCTTGATACTAGTGTCAGAGGAATATGGGCCTTCTCCCCCACTGATTTACCTAAAAAAATTGTTAGAGGAGTTATATTGACACATTGGATCGGTAAGGCGTCTCATCTAATCAAAACCATCATGATCAACTGTATAACAGGTTATATCAGATTTAAAAAATTCAATAAAAAGTACAAAATTAGTTTAACAATATGAAATGTATCAAGTTGCCTAGCTTGTATAGGCCAGTCAAAGTAGATCAAACCCATCGGCAAAAACTGGTCAAACATAATTTTATCAAGAATTGTCTAACCATACTCGATGCCAAAGCACAAATCAACGGCAGACTGGCTTATTGATGTGCTCTTGATAACGATGCTTAATTCCCTTTTTGGAGTTTCTTTCTTGTCAATTCAGGAGTAGGTGCAAATTTTGATGCAGAGGTAGCATGTCAAAGATGGTAAGTGCGGCTGCTTGTTAGTTGCTATTTACAAAGTGTAATAAAAAGTGAGATATAGGTTCGGATCTTGGGGGTCTGAACCCACTTTCTTTTTTTATTTTCTTCATAAATGGGAGATAGGGTTAGATGCTAGTTGTCTAAACTGGGGTAACTTGAGCGTTTTTTAAAAGAAAGAAAGAAAGCGAGAAATTTGCCCAAAACTTAAAGATGTGGTTTCTATAAGTTGCAACTTTAAACAATCCAATTAAGGCGCACCTCCAAATTGTATCCTAACATGTAATTTTGGTGAAAAAACTCTTAGGATTATCTCAAAATCTATTTTTATATCTAATTATAAAATTTCAAACTTAAAAAATGGTCAAAATCAAATAGATCTATAAACATATGAAAATCTTGATAATGGACGGTCTAAATGATGTAATGCAAGATGCACTCTTTTTTGGGACTCAAAATCTTTATGTGGAGATGATCAATTAGAGGTTCATTAAAACGACCTTTCCGATTGATTTTTGATGTGCATCTGTAATTCTACATTTTAAGGTTGCAGCCTTATAATAACTTTTTGCAAACTTAGAATAGGCTATCTTTATTTTGAATATGACTCTTGTAAGGCGATTCATCTATAAATTTCACTTTTGTTTTTTAGTTATTAGATGTGAGAATAAATCATCGAAATTGTAGCTATAAAAAGCTTGAGCATGATAAGCTCCTCACTTCAATAAAAAATACTCTTCTTGCAGACAAAAGAAAAGAGCAAAAAAATAATGTCGGACAATATTCATGGGGTCATAGACCATCATGTTCACTTCTTGGTGGGGTAATAAATTTCATTAAATATTTACGAGAATTTAGAAAAGCATAAGAACGACCATTGTCATGTTGGTTATAACCCCCAAATGTTTTGTGTGATGGTAACGAGTGTCTAAACTAAAATAAATGTAATGTTAAATAATAGGTGTTTTTGATAAGGGTGTAGTTGCATATGATAGAGGCTCTAAACAATGAAAGTAAAGTGCACCTTCAATTTGTGTCCGGAAATGTAGTTTCAATACTGAAAAGCTTTGTGATAACCTTAAACTATATTTTCATCTCTAATTATAAAATTTAAAGCTTCAAAACTAGTGTAAATTGAGCAGATCTATGAAAAGTTGAAAATATTGAAAACTAGCAGTCCAATAATGCATTTCAAGATGCACTATTTCCAAAACTTGAAATCTTTTTTTTTTTTTTTTTCTTCATATCCATACATCTTTAAGTCGAGATGATCAATTTGAGTAATTTTGAGTACCAAAACAACTTTTCTAGTGAAATTTTTGAGGTGCACCCCATTTTGATTGCTTAGAGCCTCGCACTTATATAAACTTTTTGCTTTAGGTTTTTAGTTAATAATGTAATGGCTTTTATCTTGATTTCAAATATTTGCGAGAAAAAGCGCCTTAAATATCTTAATACTTGTCATTTTTGTTACTTCTTAAAAGTTTAATTATGATTAAATAAATAACAACATATAACATTTGGGAAAAGAAAGCCCTAATTAAATCTATGGAAAAGTGCATAATAAGATAATTTAAATTTGGTACAAGAAGGTCATTATCACTTTTAACCATTAAATATGAAATCAGAGGGTTGGGAGTGTGGGCCTTAGATCATGCTTATATGGAAATTATTAAATAAAATTCTGTATTAAAAATTGACCAAATTGATTCTACCGCAAACTTTGAAAGTCTAAAGCTTAAGCTCTGGGATCCATGAATATATAAGTGTAACTTTGGCATGTAGTTATTCACAAAAAACTTAGGACCTAGAAGGTCCTAGATCGTAGGAGCCACTTCCTAGCATGCCCAGGTGGCTCCTAGGATCCAGAAAAAATATAGAACCTTTAAGGTCCGATGGTCTCTAACTTCGAATGTCGAAGGTCCTAAGTTAATTGTTGGGGATCTTTAGAGCTTCTTTATAAGTTAATTATTGGGGATCTTTAGAGCTTCTTTCTAACATGCCAAGATGGATCGTAGAAGAACTTTGGACCTTGAAGTTCCTAAGTTTCTCCGCTTTCAAAGGGGATTTTTGAAATTAATTAATTATGGGGATATTTGTATAATTTCTCATTAAATTATTTATATATTTATAGATCCCAGCAGTACATTTTCTAGCCTGGCTAGATTTGGACCAAAGGTCTATGAACCCCAAAGTTAAATTTCTACTCTCTTTCTAGCAGGGGGAGGCCTAGGCTGGCATGGCGTCTAGAAACCCTAGTTCCATTAATAGTTAGCAAGTCGGCAAATAATAATGTATCGACGAACTAAAACATCAAAAATAAATCAATTTTATTTTAGGGAAAATATCTCCTATTTTTAGGTTTCATATCTTGATAAATCCAATGTTTCAAAAAATATCTTCTAACCCCCTGGCTACTTTAAACTTATTTTTTAACTTGAACAAATGTGAGAAATACATGCTCTATCTAAACCCAAATCTTTCTCTCTCTTCACTTATATACCCCAAACTTCTCTCTTTCTCTCTCCTCCTTCCTTTGTCTCTCACTCTATCTCTCCTCCCATGTTTCTCCAAACACCTCTCTCACTCTCTTCTCGGTGACTTCTCACCTCCATGAAGCCCTTCTCTTTCTTTAGAAATTTAGGAGGATGGCTTTTAGAAAAGGTACGTCTTTTTAGATTTGTTTGGCCTAAAAAAAGGATTTAAATTATCTCAGGGGGTAATAAGAAATAAAATCTACAATTTTTATGCCCCAAGATATCTTTTAAAACCTTGAGTTTATTGTGAAATGAAACCTAAAAATAGGGAGTATGGAGATATTTTTCCATTATTTTCAAAGGTCGGAAGAAAAAATTAGGTAAATAATACAGATCGCCAAAAAATAAATTAGTTATAGAATCTTGAATATTTCAGATTTACCTCAAAATAATGGAGTGAAAAAATTGGATATGTAAAGATAACATAATATAAGATTGTGATTTTCAATCAATGTATAAATATACTAAAACCATTGAACAAAGATTTTATGGTCTTACCTAGTATCATTAAAGTGATACTTGACAATTTATTGTCTAAACTTTCAATAAATCCAAAAATACATACTCTATTGTCACAACACAAGACATCACATACTTATTGGGAGCATAATATGCAACAACAATAACTCTGAACACAAGAACTAGATTAGTAAATAACAAGAAATGTAAACCAATGTATAGGTTTATTTTTCAAAGAAAAAATAAAAAAAATACTCATTGTTGGGGTTAACTCAAACAAAACACGAATACCCAAATAAAAAATATATATCTTGTATACACCAACAAAATAAAAAGTAAAAACAAAAGATGCAGTTAATCAAAATTCTCTAGGCATAAAGAAAGTAACAAACTACTTAACTTGAATTCACATTGAATTCCTAGCTGTCTAAATCTTTAGTATCATTGAATCTCTCTCGTTCTTTACAAGGATCTGTGGTTTAAAGAAAAAAAATATTTTTCATTAGGTTACTCTTCTGCTAATTCTTTCTTATTTTGAGATATACAATCGTTTTGATGTCTTATTTTTGGGGAAAGGATTTCTTGTATTTTTTTTTGTATACTTTTGTATGGTTAAAACAGGGTGGTTCTTCTGGAATCAAAGATAAGAGTTAGAATCTTGAAGACATCTGATGGCCCAACATAGGTTTCTCCTTATATTTTGGCTCTCTCTCTCTCTCTCTCTCTCTCTCTCTCTTTCATGCTTTCTCTAAGTTTTGCCTCATCTTAGGACAGTTTTATGCTCTCTCTCTCTCTTAGCATTTAGAGACATCATAATACATAGGATGTCTCAAAGTGCGACAATTAAACAGAGATCATCATACGTAGGATGTCATATCTATGGGCACTACGCTCTCATTTTGGCTCTCTTTCTCTATCACACACACATATATCAAAATCTAACAAAAATATAGAGAGAACTTGTAATGAACTCGGAATGGAAAGACTTGTAATAAACTTGGAATCATCAGCATCTTATTGCAGAAAACAGTCTCTCTCTCTCTCTCTACTTGTTAGGAATAACTTGGGGAGAGAACTCTCAACAAGGACCTTAGTTATTAAGAAAAACATAGCCACTCCACTACACAAAGCTATGGCGCATGCAGTCCACACCAAGGCAGGGGGAAGACTCATCCATAGAAAATCCATGAAGGCAAGTGTTGGGGCTGAAAGGGCAGGGAGTGTTACCTTTTTAATATCCTCTCCACTTCTCAAATGCCTCAGGTTTTGCATTGTAGAGAACCAAGAACCCATCAAGCAAGGCCATGTCCACAAAAGTGAAAAAATAAAAGACTTTCATCCATGGCTTGTTACTTGATCACCTCAAATGCATTGGAAGCAAAGAAGAGAAACCCAACTATGGAAACCAACCCTGAGCAAAAAGATGACCGATGCTTAGAGAAGGATGATGATTTCCATAAATGTCACAAACCATAAAGTTATACCATCTTTTATTGAGAGCCCGGTGGGACCAGACCGGCCTCTATTACACTCTTTTTGTGCTCGGGCTAGATTCAGCCCGGCCTGTTGGCAGCCCTACTTGCAAGTCTCCAGGTTCCCTTGAGTTGTTATAGGCAGCAGAATTATATCATCTTCATAGAAAGGCCTACTATTGGGCCTCTACCACATAGTTTCGGTTCGTGCTCGTCCCGGCCCGTTGGCAGCCCGACTTATATGTGTACAGATTAGCTTCATCTTTTAAATTTCACTGGGCGGAGGCCTTTTCAAAAATTTGATAGGTAGGGTCCACCACTTAAAACATGCCGCGTGCTCAGGGTAAGTCTTTTGGACTTTATTTACAGGAGGATGGACACACCACAGCGGTCTGAAAGCTCGTGTTTTGAAGTTTCTGGCTTGTTTCTTTTTTTTACTTGGAGTATATTTTGTGTTCCCAATGGGCTGGTCTCTTAATAACATATCATCCACTCCTTTTTTACATACGCCCTACTGACCCATTCTCGCTCACTTAACACTCACAAACATCTATTATATATATAGACTCAACTAACCGCCCATCCACATGGTTTACGATGGGCCACATGGCCCATCACGTTGTTGGCTATGGAGTGAACACGTAAACATCAATTTGCCAAGCACCGCGTCAGTTTAGGTCCGCAGCTTAAGAATTATCTAGAGAGAAGGAACGAGAATGAGGCACTAGAAGACAAATTACTTGTCAATATCTCTCTTCCCTTGTGTTTTTTCAAAAACCTCTCTTTTTTTTTCCCTAGTAACCTATCACCTCCATGAAACCTTTTTCTCTCTCTAGAAGTTTGGGAGGATGACTTTTAAAAAAGACTTGTCTTTTTAGACTTATTTGGTCTAAAAAAAGTAGGTTTAAATTAGTTCAATGGGTTTAGAAGAAATAAAATCTATAATTTTCATGCCCCAATATATCTTTTAAAACCTTAGATCTTTTGTGAAATGAAACTTAAAAATATAGGGTATGGAGATATTTTCTCTTTATATTTCCGGACAAGTTTTCTATGCTTCCCCAACAACATAAAACATAGGAAAAATTACAAAAAACACCCTAAAATGGACTATCTATGCGACTTACCCCCATCTCAATCTTTTCTCTCACTGTTTTCCCCCAAACAACCTTCTTCGCAAATAACCCCACCAACACAAAAATAGCATGCAATAAGACTAAACTACCCTTGTTTGTTTTCAACGGCCTTATCTCTCTTGTATTCACACGTCCTTCTCTCTGACAGTACAAATAAGCGCTCCGGCATTCTGAATGTGCTCTCTTGTTTTCAACGGCCTTCTCTCTGACAGTACAAATAAGCGCTCCGGCATTCTGAATGTGCTCTCCGGCAATGCAGGTCTGAGCCGCAACGCTCTGGCAA